ATACTTCAGTGTGAAAGTTGAGAAATGTGATGCTTTCATTGCAGTGAACATACAACAGTATTACTTAATATTTCACTGCAGTGATCATAACACTTTGACGGAACTACTGTCGCACAAGAGCTACCTCTCCGCAAAATATCTCCCCTTTATCGTAAGTGTCTCTCCCGTACCATAATTGTTGACTTCCTTTTCATGTTAGTTCCATATTGACAAGGTATAATACTGACAGATGGTAATTTATGGAGTTAATATCGCTTCTTGCCGTTTGTTATACTCTTGAAAATGTTTCGTTATGAACTGTAAATTGCTCATATAAAGCGTCATTAGAGACTCTTCGTTTCGCAAAGCGCCATTTTGTTACTTGATCAGCGTGTATTCTTTCGCTTCGAACAACAGTCTCGCAGCTTTCAAGAATATTTTTTGTTGAAATTGATTTGTATAAATCATATCCAAATTTAGGATAAGGGATGCTATTGACCTCAAATATAGTTTGTTACTTTTGTACATATTTTTTTAAGAATTTGCAAACACGGAACTACCTTTTAGTAGCATTTACAAGGGGTGGTGAAACGTCCCAGTGTATTAGGTAGAGAGAATGTACATTTCAAGGTTTTACATTAGCAATGAAATGTTTAATTTTGCGGAAGACGATCTAGCAAAAAGATGTTTTTTTTATATCGCAATAAACAACTGACCGTTAAAGAAATTGCTTACTCCGACTGACAGATAATTGCCTTGTCTTTATCTTTAGTTTCTGTGGCAATGATGATTAATCCCACAGACGATTTGTGGCATTTCGATCCAAATCCATCCAGCTTTAGAATGTCATATCAGCAGTTTGATGACATTCTATGACATTCTCTGTTGAATCCCGCCATCGTGATCTATGTATGTCCTAAACTACCGGGTGAATGTAAACACGCATGTCTGACCGTTGCTGAACTGGAAACAAACAAGATATGCATATGGTTATTCGATGGTGATGTATTTGATACGAGTGTCACAGTCGTGTTTTTGACCTTTCGTTTGCAGTGTTTCGGTAACTGGTTTCAGTCAAGTAACGTTTTGATAACATTTGTATTTGTTTGGTCAAATCAAATTTTTAAGTGAAAACTTTTACTTTCCATCGCCCGGCAGTGTATATGCAATTGAAATCAAAACGACAGCGCATATAGATGTGACAAATTAAAACGAATTAACATCATGGACTACTCTGGAGCCATAAAAGCAATAAATTGTAAATTGATATACCAACGTACAAATTGCTGTGTTGGTACTTTTTGAGTACATATAAAGTCAGGAAACAATGTGTTAAGTCTCACGGATGCGTAATGGGTTTACGTTGAATTTTCATGATAATGTGTAGAAATGACAAGGCGGTAAGTTGAATTCCTGACGACTATTTCTGTTTATTAGCCAACGATAGGTAAAAAGAATGTCAAGATGAATAATTACCCAGACATTATAACATAAGAAGCCAATTTGTTGTGATACTACCTGTTGGTTATCCTGGGATTAAAATTAAAATTATAAAGAAGTAATTGTTGAGGCATGTTACCAATTACTTCTTTCTTTCAGTGTTTTTCTTCTGAAACCTGTATGACCGGGGCATCCACATGAAGTGTTGAACGAGGAGCTAAATTCTTTTACGTCGCAGGCACCACTGTTAGGTTTGTTATGTTGATAAGTAAATAATCGAGTCTGACAAGAGAATCCGGTGATCGGTAGCGCGAACACCGATTGACACAATCTGATTGTGAAGACACACAAACTGCCAGGTCACATCATCGGGGTTTGATGACACACAATCAAACAGGTCACACTATCGGCTGTATGACCACCCCAGGCTACAACCAGGTCATACTGTCATACTTCTCCCAAAGAAAGGTGATTTGACTGATCCCAAAATGTCCGCTCTATTGCTTGTCTGAAAAGACTATACAAAATATTTACATTGTGTCTCGCAGATCTTGTGTCATAGAGCTGCTGATATTATTTACATGCAGCAGAAAGGAGCCTTAGGTTTGGTACCTCCCAATCATTTTTAGAGTACCATTAGACTAACACTGTTAGAGTACCCGAGTTTTCTGCCAGGAATATAGCCCTTCTGACAATCTGGGTAATGCAGAAGGCTGCAGTGTTGGGGAGTCTTCACATTCTCCGAAAAGTTTTCGGTGGGTTTGACTAGGCAGCGCTTCCTAGGAGAAGACCCATTAGCTGTCTGAGCTGCGTATAGAGGGGCCAAGGGCCCTGAGCTAATGATGAGCCTAAGCAGCCTGCCAGGATCACCCAAACCTTCTTTGCTTCATTTATTTATTTTAATCTGTGCATAATAATCCATTTATATTGCGCTAGATTCCATTCCCGGCACTACATACAGTGTAGCCTGTTACTACAGCAAGGAGAAAAAGAAGGTGCTATTGCAGTTAAACTCATACCTCGGTGTTATATTGGTACATGACAATTGCAAAGAAAACTGTTCTTACAACGTAATGGACTTGAAAACATACATTGTTGTATTGGACGCAATGATTATTTTCAATGCATCTTCAAATGTTTAGGCACTCGGAAACTTTGCCGTCAGTATATTCGGTACACATGCAGTCAGTTGAATGCAATAGATACTTCTGATAATTAGAATCAGCACTGAGACTATATAACAAACGTTCTTCTCATACCTTCGTTATGCATATCAATTACACGCCATGGCATGGTGTTATCTATTACTTTCGTTGTCACTGATACATCCATTGTAAAGATGCTGTTGAATGAATGCAATCATTACATATTTAGTTATAGGTACGTGTAATTTCAACAGTTTCAACAGCCTATACTATAATTTATCAATACTTACATTCAGCCAAACACTATAAAAACACTCTTCCTTATTTATCATGGAACTATGAAACATATGATAGCAACTCTTCTTCAGCGATTATATGGCATCAATTATGCATGATTACTGTCGCATACTGCAAGCGATGCTGTTTCGAGTGCCGAGTTGCGGAGTTAAGAAAAAAACATGTGCCCCCACTCGGCCGAATGCCAGATTGGTGCCTGCCGTATCATCTTGTATCTGTATAGCGGTTTGAACACGCAAAGACAAAAAAATTAGGGCACGCGGCTGTTTTATCGCCTCAGCAGTTTCCACATTGTGTATAGGTTCCACACCTTTCCTCGGAGACGCTGATTGAATCGCTGAAGCCATCAGTCACGGTTTGCTACCATCAAAAGATGGGAGATGTTATGGGTTCTATTGGTATGCTCGCCGGTTTCTCGAGCCTCTTGAGTCTGATTAGTCACCAATATAGCGAAGCTGGAAATACGCTGTCGCACCTGAAGTAGGACCTATGTCAAATTATATAGGACAAAGCTTTGCAATAATGCTGCAAAGAAAAGAGAAGCAAAACTTGTAGCGTTTACTGACATTATACAAGGCTTCAAAACCTGAGTGAGTGAGTGAGTTGGGTTTAACGCCTCTTTTAACAGTATTCCAGTTATATCGCGGCGTGTCAGCTTAATGTCGGAGGAAAACCCGAAGTGATGCAGGTCTCAGACGTTTACCACTTCGGTGAAACCCACGAGCACGGGTATGGTGCTGACAAACCTAGAAACATAATTGGGGCGAACCGCTTCAAAACCTGAGAGCAACGGAGTGAGGTGATGCTATTTCATTTGGTTTGATGTGATCAATTCATCTGACCTCAAGTTCAGAGGAGACTCGGTTAATTCAAATACTGTTCACTGTTTGTTTCGTATATAGACTCAGATATTAACAGTACAGTAAAGTACGGTTATAACGAACTCAAAGGGACTACTAATTTTAGTTCGTTTTAACCGTAGTTCGTTATAAGCATATATACAGCATAACTACAGCAAATAGTCGGGACCAAAAAAGTAGTTCGTTATATCCGTCAGTTCGTTATAAGCGTGTTCGTTATAACCGTAGTTTACTGTAGTTATAACGCCGAGATTCAAAGAAATTAAGATTATTAATTCTTATAAAAGATAGGAGTGCTACAAATGTCATAAGTGCTGAGAAAGTAAAGCGACAAAACCCTTTCCATATCCAATAGAAATCTCTGCAAAACGCAGAAACCATTGTACTATGAAAGCGATGCGTAAACTTAGTACAGACATAGCACCACATCTCGCAAGATAGGGGTGACTTATGGATGTCAGTTTTTTAGTTTTTCTTTCAATGCGATTTTTCGGTACAGGTGCTAGAGCCTTTATCAAGGACGTCTACAGTCTGGCACATCACGGAGACGTCGCTTTGTGGGAATAAAGAAGTTGAAATCCATACGTAAACCAAGTTTTCATTAATGTTACAGCTTCCAAATACCACTTAAATATATTACCCAACATATGCTGGAGTATGTGTGGAACTTTGTAGTAAATGAACTTTGATAATTAAATGAGACGGGTTAGAAATTGATTGCCACAGTTTGTATGATCAGGTATACAAGGTTCCAGAGTAGGTAGGGCACATATCGCGCTTTTTAAAAATTATGAATCTGTCAAGACCCTGACATATGTGAAGCCAATGTGTTTTGTTTAATCTCATTTTAAGCATATCGACAACGCAAAACGAACCCTAAGTTTATGTAAGAAGAGCAGGAAGAACATGACCGGAGTTCATCCACAAACGCCGAATGAGCAAAACATAATGTTCCATGTGAAACGTTTATCTCTTCCCTATTACTCTGCATCGGCGTGGCATTCCTGGAAGCCGGCGGTCTGTCGCTGCCTTGATGGCGCGGAGAAAAAGGGAAACGCGCGAAGGGAATCTTACAGTATCAGAACACTATTAGATTTCAGATCACAGCCATCTAGTCGTCCAGAATGTCCCTGGCCATATAAAGAAGTTCTGTATGTAGTTATGAGAAGTCAACATTGGTCGGGACATTGGCACCAGCCAATCGCCTCCCCGCTAATGAAACACCATCACCAGGCTAGGTGATAGGAGGTATAAATTCACAGCGCAGATGTGCGGCCCCAGAACAGCTTTTGAACGTGAGTGAAAGGTGAAGGTATTGTGTGTTTGGCCCTCCAAAGTGACAACCACCCTTGAATGATGCACCCATTCTTTCCCATACCTCCCCAAATACCTTGATCACATCGTCACACCACATGCATATGTACCTTTAATGAGATTCCACCTGCTTTCATTATAAACCCTAAAATCCTGCTGTGTATACCAACCACGAGTGAACCAAAGTTTTGAAATCCCGAAAACCCATTTTCTACAGATTTTCAGAGAATTTTTCATTATTTAGCAGGATTACATCTGTTTCGCTTGGATTACCTTGATAAGATGTTACCCTGGATATCAGAATTAAGGTTTGTTAACCGCGTGTCGGCGGTGGAGTGTGCGTCTTAGAGCTGTGGATATTTCCCTAATCAATATTCAGTGTGCACCACTGGTCTACTTTTAATTGAAATCTAACAGAACATACATAATATGCAATATGAAAAAAAAGTAGGGGATGGCTCAGAGGTTGAAAGCGCCACAGATATGCCGAAAGCTTTCTTAAGCTGCTTAGATCCACTGCCGTTGGTTCGAATCCCAGATTCGCTCTGATTATGACCCTTGACATGTCAGAACCCAAGCGTCCGCTGTTAAACATGTGCGGAATGCCTCAGACTGGGATTTCTTCCCACATGAAGCGGACACATCTCAATGTAACTAAATAACTTTCAAGGCAAAATATAACTAACAAAAAATTATATCTTGCTCCCAGTGTTTTGGTACAAAAATTGCAAGGGAGAGTTATTCCAAATGAGAACTCTATTTCACGTAAATGATTCTTAAAGGAGAACTCCAAATTGATGGGATAATGTATTCAATGTAAAGATTGTTGAGTCAAGTTTATCACATTGCAAACATTATTTCTGTATATCACTGCGTGTCAGCTTCATGTGGGAAAAAAACCCAAATTGATATAATCTTATAATCTTAGCCATTCTTCTGACAAAAAAGGGATTAAAAGAATGGACTGTGGAAATGTTTATTTCACATGACTATTGCGGATCTCTAGTTGCAACTTGCAAACCATTTCGACACCAGAAAATGTGGATACACTATTACACTGGGGCTGTTTTACAAACACTCGAAGTGCTTCTTTTAGGCTGCTTCTTCGTCTGACGCCGTTCATTGAATTCAGCATTCTGTGTTGACGGAGACCATACAATCTTGCCTTGGTGGTGAGAATATTTGCCTGAGAACCACACTGTTTGCGTAAACCGTAGAAGAACGTCTCTCTCGAGATTGATTACGTCGTTTGGAATGTATTCATAGGTGACATTAATTTCCTTTTAGCAGGATTTTAGAAGAAATTGATGAACGTAATTATTCAGCCTTTACATTTAGGGCATTCCAATGGCTGCAAACATGTTAGACTTTTATTGTTTCAGTGCGCTATATCAGTGTTGCCATATATTGACATGTTGATGGGCCTTTAGTATGGCCTCGCGTTGTCTCCCTGTAGACCAGTGTATTCCTATTCGTGGTGTCCCCACGCTAATATGGCGTAAATCTTACTCATTCGCTATTGACGCATTGTGAGACACATGTGCTAGAAATAACATATTTCACTGACCATATTCAGTAGGGGCTATACATCATCATAACCAACCCGATAGCCATCGTAATACAACAGGTAAAGGCATCATGAAGAACTACGTCACGTAGTCATGTTGAAGGCAAGTCTACACACGTGCACGTGTGTATGAGTTTCTCTTTATGTTAAACATAGTTCAGTATCATCACCATTCTGCGCCGACGGTATGCACTTTTAGTGATTGTACAGGAAACTTGCTGGCTTCAGTTATTACAATTGTACTCCAGATGTACCGAGCTCCAAGGTACCAGCCTTAATGGTCAACTTGCAAAACGATCTTAGAGCTAAGACTATTGCCACTTCTTATCTTTGGAATGAAATCTTCGCTAAGATTGTTTTGTGGAAGTGGACCCTGAACAGAGCTTTCGTTTTCCGAAATCACTATTCCAAGGATCACTATACCTAGTTACCACTGCTGGAGGTTTATCACTATTCCCAGGAGGACTATACCACCGTTACCACTGATGGAGGTTTATCACTATTCCTAGGTTGAAATTACCTAGTTACCACTGATGGAGGTTTATCACTATTCCCAGGATGACTATACCTATCGTTACCACTGATGGAGGTTTATCACTATTCCTAGGATGAATATACCTATCGTTACCGCTGATGGAGGTTTATCACTATTCCTAGGATGAATATACCTAGTTACCACTGCTGGTGGTTTATAACTATTCCTGAAATCATTATACCTAGTTACCACTGATAGAGGTTTATCACTATTCCCAGGATGACTATACCTATCGTTACCACTGATGGAGGTTTATCACTATTCCTAGGATGAATATACCTAGTTACCACTGCTGGTGGTTTATAACTATTCCTGAAATCATTATACCTAGTTACCACTGATAGAGGTTTATCACTATTCCCAGGATGACTATACCTATCGTTACCACTGATAGAGGTTTATCACTATTCCTAGGATGAATATACCTAGTTACCACTGCTGGCAGTTTATGACTCTTCCTGAGATCAGCATACCTAGTAACCACTGCTGGAGGTTTATGACTATTTCTGAGATCACCATACCTAGTAACCACTGCTGGAGGTTTATCACTATTCCTGAGATCACCATACCTAGTTACCACTGCTGGCAGTTTATGACTATTCCTGAGATCACCATATCTAGTTACCACTGATGGAGGTTTATCACTATTCCTAGGATGATTATACCTATAGTTACCACTGATTGAGGTTTATCACTGTTCCTAGGATGACTATACCTAGTTACCGCTGATGGTGGTTTATCACTATTCCTGAGATCACCATACCTAGTAGCCACTGCTGGAGGTTTAACACTATTCCTGAGATCACCATACCTAGTTACCACTGATGGAGGTTTATCACTATTCCTATGATGGCTATACCTAGTTACCACTGCTGGAGGTTTATCACTATTCCTGAGATCACTATACCTAGTTACCACTGCTGGAGGTTTATCACTATTGCTAGGATGGCTATACCTAGTAACCACTGCTGAAGGTTTATCACTATTCCTAGGATGACTATACCTAGGTACCAATGATGGAGGTTTATCACTATTCCTAGGATGACTATACCTTGTTACCACTGCTGGAGGTTTATCACTATTCCCAGGATGATTATACTTATAGTAACCACAGATGGAGGTTTATCACTATTCCTGAGATCACTATACCTAGTTACCACTGCTGAAAGTTTATCACTATTCCCAGGATGATTATACCTATAGTAACCACAGATGGAGGTTTATCACTATTCCTAGGATCACTATACTTAGATACCACTACTGGAGGTTATAGTTCGTTATGGTTTATTCCTCTACCTTGTAATTCAATACCTTGTATATCTGCTCTGCACTTGTCGTCCCACCCCTTTAGAAAACGTAGTCCATAGTTAGGAACACATTACGGGATTGAATAATGAGCACTTCTGGGTGCACAATAATTCATATAAAGATAGTAGTCACAGGAAACTGTCAAACATATTCCATTCCTAAAAATGTCACCGCTATGTTGCTTTTTGCGCCCAATGGAATCTGCTTCGGGGGATAATCGAGACTTGTTTTTCTTTGGCGTTGACGTGTTATATTCAGATGCATTGCCAAAGAATACTACTTATCGAAATGTCATATCCAACCCGTTTTTGTGGTTATTGCCAGTTCGTTATTTTTTTCCATTAGAAATAAGTGAAATCTGATTATCGCGATATATAGACGACTTTAAGGTTTTCTATCGTCACTTCGAACTACGGATAAATCAATAAATATGTCCCTGGACTTCGAGTTAACAGTGTTAGGGTATATATATATATATATATGTGTATTCCGAAATAATTTGATTTACAGTTTTTCTTCACACCGACTATATTTGGCTGACATAGAGCTGATACCCGTACGCCTTGCGGATAATTGTGTTACTCCTGATGTGTCTCAACCCAACTCAGACCTCCTTGGTATAAAGGATAGAGCGTCTTCCCGGAGAGCGGAAGGTGGGTAGTTCGATCCACGGCCGCGTCATTCCAGAAGACATTAAAAGATGTTACTTGTTACCCTGCCTGACGTTCGGCATTAAGAGGATAAAACAAGGCTGGTCGGTTCGGAGTCGGCTGCAATAATCTTGTACGCAACGTCAAACTCCTTTTCACCTCAATTCAGTTTATTCTCAGAATACCACCATCGCCAGAACAGTTACAACATTCAATAAGATGTTATATCCAAGGTCATGAACATGTTCAAATAGAAAACCATACGATACATATATGTCCATGAATATTAAAAGTTCTCGTAATATTGGAGCATCTCTATATACTAGAGAGATATTCTTCGAGTAAAACAGCCCCAGCGTATAATAGTGTGTCCCCAACTTCTGTTGTCGAAAGGTTTGTTTGTTTGTTGTTTAACGCCGCACTCAGCAATATTCCAGCTATATGACGGCGGTCTGTAAATAATCGAGTCTGGACCAGACAATCCAGTGATTGACATCATGAGCATCGATCCACGCAATTGGGATTGACATGCATCAACCAAGTCAGCGAGCCTGACCACCCGATCCCGTTAGTCGCCTTTTACGACAAGCATCGTCGCCTTTTACGGCAAGCATGGGTTGCTGAAGACCTATTCTACCCCGGAATCTTCACGGGTTTGTTGTCGAAAGGGATTGCATGTTTGCAACTGGAGATATGCATCAGTCATTAGAAATATCAGATTGTTCCACGGTCCATTCTTTGAATCCCTTCTTTGTCAGCACAATGTCTCACAAGTTGTTCACAGAGCGACTCATACCCTTAACAATCCTAACATTTAAAAGAAAGCAACCAGTATATAATCTTTATGCTACCATGATGAAATAAAACGCTATACTAGGTGTTTTCGGAGAAAGAGCGTGAAGCAGAATGGGTTTGAATGGGTTTTGAGAGGTTGTCGATCTCAATCAGAGACATACCGTGATGCTGTTTATGCTCCAACATTGTATTTTGTACATCATTATACCTTACCCACATATAAGACAGGCATTGGAAGTATTTAGCCCAGCTACTTCCTGACACACATGCACTTGACACCGCTGAGGAAAATTAAGCATCCTTGCAAAGTTTAGTTCTACGCCGCTCGTCACTGTTATGACGCCATGCTGCTAATTATGAGGAAACGCTACAGGACGTTTGATATAGAAAAGCGCGAAATTTCAAGCTGTCCGTTTTCCCCAAAACTTGAAATTCACTATTCAGTCGGTTGCAATCGTGCTCTTTATGGTCCAAACTGTATTACTACACATATTTTGAACAATTCTGAATTTTGTAACCTATATTTGTACATATCATTTTCTCAAAATGCATAGCGACAATGAGAAAGAATTTTGTATAAATATTAGCTTCCGTGGTGATGCAGCTGTTAAATCAATGGTTTCAGCTGGGGCTATTGTGACTTGAAACCTCATGATTGAACTATCAGAATCGAATAGATTCCACATTCATGGTAGAATGATAATTTATTGAATTCCACTTGGAAGTGAAGACGGTATTGTCATTGTGTATCGTGTTGTAACCCTCCAAACTGCCTTACAACCTACCATTTCCCTTTAAACCGCATCATTCCATAACCTGTCCCTTTGTTTCAGTGTATAACAGTTGTGTCTCAATCATATAAGTCAGTTAGTATTCTGTTACACTGACCTGTTTGTAGCAATCCTTCCACTTCATGGTAGGAACATCAATGGATGGCCAATGTGTCTAAAAGGATGTGCAGAACTGCGCCCCCTTGTCATGCAAGGATGCGCTGAGCAGGGATTTAAATAACAGTGTCGCCCTGATTAGGATCCTGTGTTTGTCTGATAATTGGTTTCACCAAAATTCTAAACGTCCAGGGATCTAGTGTATTTGATCTTTCGTCCTACGAATGTTTCACACCATGGTGTAACTGAACTACTGTTCCATGTCAGGCTATACCAAACATACTCACTTATTTCTGCGTTTTGGATCATTCCAGCTAGACTCGAGTCTAGGGCTGTTCCGATCGACTTCAGCGGCCAAGAGCGGTACAGAGATCGGGGAGCCAATCTGAAGACAGTCTCCCAGTTTCGGGTTTTTATTTGTTTCGACAACTAAAGGAGCTTGACCGTACCAACAAGATGGCCTCCTACGATCCCAATGATCCGGACATGAAGTATCTTGCGGTAGACCGCAAGAAACTGCTGAAAGAGCAAACAAAGGCATTTGATGCCAAAATAGCTTGCTGGGTCCCCGATGAGGAAGAAGGGTTCCGCGCCGGCGAGATCAAGGGCGAATCTGGTGAACAAGTCACGGTCATTGTCTTGGATACCAATGAGGTAACTATGTTCAATTTAAAAAAAATCAGGCTTTAACACAACGATTTCATTTTTCGGCTTTTGTGATGAAGGTAACTGGTTTATGTGTTGAAAGTTAAACGTCAATATTGTAACAGAATTCAGCTTCAGTAAATATCAAACGTTAAACACCTAACACAATAATGACAATATGCAGCATATTGTGTAAATGTTGTCTTTTTAGACCTTAATAACGCCAGGAGTGTATGCAGGTTAATACTGTGCTCTGTAAATGGTGACAGTAAACATTTATTTATGTTAGTTTGCAAGTTTTACCAAGGGTAATGTTCTTGGATAAAATTAACTTTACCGCCATCTAAGATTAAAGTGTTTGTTACCGAGTTCATATGTTTTCAAGAACAGTTTGCGTTTAAAATGTTGAACAAGAACGTTTGTGTTTTACATTATCAGACGAAAACCTTGAAGAGGGATGACATCCAGTCGATGAACCCTCCCAAGTTCGAGAAGATCGAGGACATCGCCAATATGACCTACCTGAACGAGGCCAGCGTCCTGCACAACCTGAGGGCCAGATACGTTGCAGGGCTCATCTACGTGAGTTACTAGACCCTTGAACCATCGTCTCCACCATTCACGTGGTCACTGGGTTAAACACATGGTACTACCCCCGTTGCGGTATCAAATTTTCTTTTACAATTCGAGGGCACGGGTGGCCCAGTCGTCAAAAGCGACGCGATTCGCTGTGCAGAGTTGCGTCCCTTGGGCACGCCAGAAACCTATGATTGTTGGTTCGAATCCCCGTTCGCCCCGATTATGTTTCTAGGTTTGTCAGCACCATACCCGTGCTCGTGGGTTTCACCAAAGTGGGCTTTCATCCCACATTAAGCTGACACGCCATGATATAACTGGAATACTGTAGAAAAAGCGGCGTTAAACCCAACTCACTCACTCACTTTTACAATTCAACGTTGATGGTTGTGGCAAAGACATATTCTTTCGAAGAATGTTGGTATAGTGAAGAAGGAAAATGCATGAATATTCTTACAATGTGTAAACGCTTAACAATAATGCAACGTTGATACCATATGTGTTATAAATTAGGTTGTCCTTCTTCTGTTAAAAAAGAACAATTTCACACCAAACAACACACACTTGATTATATCTCATGTATTCAGACGTACTCCGGCCTGTTCTGTATCGCCATCAACCCCTACCGTCGTCTCCCCATCTACATCATGTCTGTCGTTGACAAGTATAGAGGCAAGAGGAAGACCGAGATGCCTCCCCACTTGTTCTCCATCGCTGACAACGCCTACCAGTTCATGGTGCAAGGTAGGGGTTTACATCTCGACATGACTATATGAAGCTATACATTTCGACACAGTCGTAACATTAACTACGTAATAACACACGCCATAACTTAATGACATTAAATAAAGCCTTAGGTGTAAACGTTTGGTTTGATGATTGTAATAACGAACATAAAAGTAGTCGTCCTGAATATTATGAAAAATACTTCTTCCCGGGGCAAGGGGGTCAACTGACTGTTAAAGTCCAGTTTCCGCCCTTGCCAAACTAGCCTGGAATTATGGAGTTATGTATTGACTGGACTAACGAGTCTATGCATAGTCCAATGAAAATCGCGTAACGAAATCGACATCCGGTTCGTAAACTGCCTTGTAGCTTTCGGTCGATTGCAGGATTTACGAAGCATATGTACCGTCACCTTCTCTTCAACAAATATTTTCCAAATCCTTTCATGTTATAATCAAGGTGCTCAGGTGATTTGATGCACTTCACGAAGTTAGGCCCTTTTATTACAATATAGATCTTGGTTATCGATATATAATAACATGGTTGTCGTCATTTTGTTTGATATTAGATGTGGATTCTGATTGGTCAATAGGAGGGACAGTGTTGTTCGGCAAGGGTTGAAACTGGGCCTTTATGGTCAGTTAACTCCCTTGCCTCGGGAAGATATGAAAATTAATGCTATCCTTTGCATTTCAGATCGTGAGAACCAGTCTATGTTGATCACGTAAGGCACTTCTTAACTTATTACGAACATTAAATTGCGATGAACCAATATATACTGAACAAAACCAGTTAGGGATTAGACTATTTTTGGGATATATTTTGGCAGTGAAGACTGAACACACACTTTCATAAAAAAAATCCCCCAAGATATTCATGATTCCTAACTTTGTTTGTTCAGTATGTTTGTTTTCTTGCATAAGCAAATGGTGTTTTCTTGGTGTAGAGTCACAAACACGAAGACACGCGATTCGGTCAAATGTCCCCCAAATGTTTGTTTGGTGTTTAACGTGGCACATGGCAATACTTCTGCTATGTGATAGTGGGCTGAAAGAAATCTTCATTTATTGTTTCATTAATTTGTTTATATATTCGTTGGGATACAGGTTGCATAACCATACTCTCATCTATATGTCATAGTTTGTCGAAGTAATAGTGAACGATCTATATGTTGATGTATCGGGGAAAAAAAAATTGATGATCTGAACAAATACTATATGAACCTTTTTTATCATATAAAAATACAATATTATACAATATTTATTTGCAATTTATTATTCATATTATGGATGGTTTCTGTTTACACTGGGGGCACGGGTGGCCAAGTCGTCTAAGGCGACGCGAATCGCCGTGCAGAGTTGCGTCCCTTGGGCACGCCAGAAACCTATGATTGTGGATTCGAATCCCGGTTCGCCCCGATTATGTTTCTAGGTTTGTCAGCACCATACCCGTGCTCAAGGGTTTCACCGAAGTGGTAAACGTCTGAGATCTGCATCACTTGGGGCTTTCCTCCCACATTAAGCTGACACGCCGTGATATAACTGGAATACTGCAGCGTTAAACCCAACTCACTCACTCACTCACTCACTCATTCTGTTTACACTGACGATATCTTAATATTAAAGTATATTGTAATTGCAATTCATTTAAATGACTATAATACACCTCAAAGTGTAAGTGTTGTTGGCTCCAACACTTGTTCCATACACGCGTAGGGCCTTTGGCACGAGATATCATTGTCTGGGGCCATGCATTCTGAGATACAATGTCCGGTTGATATTGGGTTCGTATGACTGCATGAACAATGGGTTAGACTTGCTGACCGGAAGAGGAAGTTAAATTGGATCGGGTGGTCAGGCTTCGTGCCCTGATGGCGTCGATCATTGCACGTCCTTTCAGGCACTGGTTTGCCTGCACCAAACTCGATTATTTATTAATATTTTATCATTATTTATCATTATAGATGGTGATGTGCTTTCTGTGGCGTTAAACAACATTCGCTCATTTAGTCACTTATTTACTCAGCCTGCACAAGAAAGCTGCATTCAGTAGACGAGGGACGCTAAGGCGTTCTATCGTCACGCCGAAAACCTGGGTTTGATTCCCAAAATGGGTCCGTTATTGGTGACCTGCCGTGATAATACTTGTTATTGTTAGAAGAGACGTAAACACACGTTGACGAGATGAATACGTTCTAGAAGTAATCTGTAACTATATATATTTTGAAATCTACCCAATGTCAACTTTGGTCATTATCAGCGGCGAATCGGGAGCTGGTAAGACTGAGAACACCAAGAAGGTCATCTCTTACTTCGCCTTCGTTGCTTCCGCCGGAGAGAAGAAAGAAGAGAGTGAGGAAAAGAAGGTAAGTCGTCGGAATTTTACAAAACCTTTCATATGATGATGATGATTATGATGATGATGATGAAGTGTATTCGTAACGTGCTATATTCCAAACATCAAATGTATGCTCAAAGCGCTACATTCTAAGAATGTCAATTACGTAATTTATAAGAATTAATAATAGTAATTGATAAGAGCAGCCATATAAAGCATTCACACGTCGTAGTACTTTTTCGGAAAAGATGTGTTTTAATCAATTTCTTGAAATAGTCCAAGGATGGTGCCAGTTTGATTTCTAGCGGGAGTTCATGCCAGAGAATTGCTGCGCTAATGCTGCTAGATCTACTGCGGTCAACTACGGACCCAAAAGAATCCCTTTGTTGTAACCTCTGTTTTATTCATGATACAGAGGAACCTCGTGAATTCGGACGGTTCTTTTCCCAATGAAATCATGTGGATTAAGAAATATCCTGATTAACGAATCGTGGATACGGACAAATGTCCTTTGTTTCATTTTAAGACGATATCAACCGGCGTTAGGTCTACTGATGACTTCGATTTAAGCACGTATTCGAAATGTCAGTGTTGGAGACGACATGTCACGCCAGTTTATACAGACTTATGTTATATCATCTGTCATTATCTATATGCTATTCATATATCCCTTTCAATTCTTCAGGGTTCCCTCGAGGACCAGATCATCCAGGCTAACCCTGTTCTTGAGGCCTACGGTAACGCCAAGACATCCCGTAACAACAACTCCTCCAGATTCGTAAGTCTTTTGTACATTTTCATTCGACCCGTGAAGATCCGGGGTTGAAATAGGTCTTCTATGCTAAACCCATGCTTGTCGTAAGAGGCGACTAACAGGATCAGGTGGTCAGGCTCTCTGACTTGGCTGATGCACGTCATTGTGTCCCAATTGCGTGGATCGATGCTCATGATGTCAAGCACTGGATTGTCTGGTCCAGACTCGATTATTTTTCAGACCGCCGTCACATGGCCGGAATATTGCTGAGTGCGGCGTTAAACAACAAACAAACAAACAAACATTTTCATTCATTGTGGATAAGTACCAAAACAAATCTACACCGGGAAAAACGAAGTTTAATTTCCCCGAGAATTTATATACTATTTATATACTAGACCGCCTACGTGGGGTTGTGGATACGTGGCGTCTGCCCGGAGAGCGGAAGGTCGGTAGTTCGATCCCGGGTCGCGTCATACCAGAAGACATTAAAAGATGGTACTTGTTGTTACCCTGCCCTTTGAAGTCACAAAGATTACACCTGCTTGGTGATCACTTTAACGGTTGAAAGCTGATCCATCCCCGTCCTGTCTTTCTCAGATGTCTATTGTCATCCATATGTTGTTCACATACGACAAAAACTGACAGTTTGTTTTGTGATCTTTCAGGGTAAATTTGTGCGTATCCATTTCGGCAGTTCAGGAAAAATAGCCGGAGCTGATATTGAAACATGTGAGTATAAGTGTAAAAATTGATAGATACCCTGGCTTCATACAATAAGATGACGTTGGTGACGGTAATGGTTGATATATTACCTATGTTAAGAACGACTATGAATCAGGTAGAAACTCTTTCTAAGTATAGAATTCAAAACAAAGCAGAACCATCGTTCTTATAGGGCGTTGTTCAGTACAACATATTCCGCCAACAGTTTGTATACTGAACCGAAAAAAGTTTGGGATCATAAATATTTTTGGGAATATATTTTTGTAGTGAAGACTGAGCACACAATTTCATAAAAATATCCACAACATATTCATGATCCCTTTTTTAGGGTCAGAATATATTACATGCCTTATACATTTGCGGTTATATAGCTGTTTTATCACTCATCGAGGCCGGATGCTATATTTAGTCTCATGTGCTGACTTTTTACAATTTAGGAGGCGGTGGGACAGCCTAATGGTTAAAGCGTTCGCTCGTCACGCAGAAGTCCTGGGTTCGTTTTCCTACATGGGTCAATTGTGTGAAAACCATTTCTGATGTATACTGCTAGAATATTGCTAAAGACGGCGTTACCAATTCTCACTCATTCACTTTTAATCCTAGATTTGCTGGAAAAGTCTCGGGTAACCCAACAACAGTCGGTAGAGAGAAACTACCACATCTTCTACCAGATGTTGTCAAATGCCGTACCTGATGTAATTGGTAAGTAGAAAATGTGTTTAAGCAGAATAATCCATAATAAATATAATCACCATTAGAATAAATTTTATGATGGTGTGTTGAGAATGTACATAACTGAGAGATTGTGTATGCTGACTCATGTACTTATACATGTTTTTATAAAAAATCAAACATTTCCACAGAGAAAATTGTGGCTCAACCAGACCCCGGCCTCTACTCCTTCATCAACCAGGGTGTGTTGACAGTGAATGGCATTGACGACGTGGAGGAAATGAACACCACCCATGTGAGTGCTCTTTCAATTAAGAATTGACTTCCCCTTTGTGCGAGGTCATTGGAGTGTGAACCTTCATAGATTGAGGGCCACACTGAACGACGACGTTCTTACAATGTATTCAATTTATGAAGGTCATACTCCAATGATCAAAGAGAAAGTCAATTCTTATAATTTTTTATATCACTATTTTTTACCTTGATTGATGTCTCTAGATCTATGCACGATTTTATTTAGTACGTGTGACTTCATGTTTACCCTGACAGTCATACAACAACCAGCTGTATTGCGGAATGAAGTAGTTCCTCAAAAGGAGAAGTGACATGATGAATGTATACTTACATTCTTCCACAGTGACATCTTTTGTCGTTTGTTTACTATATTCAAATAATGTCATCATTAGGTGAGCGAGTTCTGTTAAGAACAACCTTAGTAAGACTGCTGTAGACTGTAATGGGATGTCACTGTAATGGAGTGTCACTGTAATGTAGTGTCACTGTAATGGGATGTCACTGTAATGGGGTGTCACTGTAATGGAGTGTCACTGTAATGTAGTGTCACTGTAATGGGATGTCACTGTAATGGGGTGTCACTGTAATGGAGTGTCACTGTAATGTAGTGTCACTGTAATGGGATGTCACTGTAATGGGGTGTCACTGTAATGGAGTGTCACTATAAAGGGGTGTGACTGTAATAGGCCGTCACTGTAATGGGGTGTCACTGTAATGGAGTGTCACTGTAATGGGGTGTGACTGTAATAGGCCGTCACTGTAATGGGGTGTCACTGTAATGGAGTGTCACTGTAATGGAGTGTCACTGTAATGGGGTGTGACTGTAATAGGCCGTCACTGTAATGGAGCGTCACTGTAATGGGGTGTGACTGTAATAGGCCGTCACTGTAATGGGGTGTCACTCTAATGGAGTGTCACTGTAATGGAGTGTCACTGTAATGGGGCGTCACTGTAATGGAGTGTCACTGTAATGGGGTGTCACTGTAATGGAGTGTCACTGTAATGGGGTGTCACTGTAATGGGGTGTCACTGTAATGGAGTGTCACTGTAATGGGGTGTGACTGTAATAGGCCGTCACTGTAATGGGGTGTCACTGTAATGGAGTGTCACTGTAATGGAGTGTCACTGTAATGGGGTGTGACTGTAATAGGGTGTGACTGTGATGGGGTGTGACTGTGATGGGGTCCAACTGTATGGGGTGTGACTGTAATGGGGTGTGACTGTAATGGGGTGTGACTGTAATGGGGTGTGACTGTAATGGGGTGTGACTGTAATGGGGTGTCACTGTGATGGGGTGTGACTGTGATGGGGTGTGACTGTAATGGGGTGTGACTGTAATGGGGTGTGACTGTGATGGGGTGTGACTGTGATGGGGTCCGACTGTATGGGGTGTGACTGTAATGGGGTGTGACTGTAATGGGGTGTGACTGTAATGGGGTGTGACTGTAATGGAGTGTCACTGTAATGGGGTGTCACTGTAATGGGGTGTCACTGTAATGGGGTGTGACTGTGATGGGGTGTGACTGTGATGGGGTGTGACTGTAATGGGGTGTGACTGTAATGGGGTGTGACTGTGATGGGGTCCAACTGTATGGGGTGTGACTGTAATGGGGTGTGACTGTAATAGGGTGTGACTGTAATGGGGTGTGACTGTAATGGGGTGTGACTGTAATGGGGTGTCACTGTAATGGAGTGTCACTGTAATGGGGTGTCACTGTAATGGGGTGTCACTGTAATAGGGTGTGACTGTAATGGGGTGTGACTGTGATGGGGTGTGACTATGATGGGGTCCAACTGTATGGGGTGTGACTGTGATGGGGTGTCACTGTAATGGGGTGTCACTGTAATGGAGTGTCACTGTAATGGGGTGTCACTGTAATGGAGTGTCACTGTAATGGAGTGTCACTGTAATGGGGTGTGACTGTAATAGGCCGTCACTGTAATGGGGTGTCACTGTAATGGAGTGTCACTGTAATGGAGTGTCACTGTAATGGGGTGTGACTGTAATAGGCCGTCACTGTAATGGAGTGTCACTGTAATGGGGTGTCACTGTAATAGGCCGTCACTGTAATGGGGTGTCACTCTAATGGAGTGTCACTGTAATGGAGTGTCACTGTAATGGGGCGTCACTGTAATGGAGTGTCACTGTAATGGGGTGTCACTGTAATGGAGTGTCACTGTAATGGGGTGTCACTGTAATGGGGTGTCACTGTAATGGAGTGTCACTGTAATGGGGTGTGACTGTAATAGGCCGTCACTGTAATGGGGTGTCACTGTAATGGAGTGTCACTGTAATGGAGTGTCACTGTAATGGGGTGTGACTGTAATAGGGTGTGACTGTGATGGGGTGTGACTGTGATGGGGTCCAACTGTATGGGGTGTGACTGTAATGGGGTGTGACTGTAATGGGGTGTGACTGTAATGGGGTGTGACTGTAATGGGGTGTCACTGTAATGGGGTGTCACTGTGATGGGGTGTGACTGTGATGGGGTGTGACTGTAATGGGGTGTGACTGTAATGGGGTGTGACTGTGATGGGGTGTGACTGTGATGGGGTCCAACTGTATGGGGTGTGACTGAAATGGGGTGTGACTGTAATGGGGTGTGACTGTAATGGGGTGTGACTGTAATGGAGTGTCACTGTAATGGGGTGTCACTGTAATGGGGTGTCACTGTAATGGGGTGTGACTGTGATGGGGTGTGACTGTGATGGGGTGTGACTGTAATGGGGTGTGACTGTAATGGGGTGTGACTGTGATGGGGTCCAACTGTATGGGGTGTGACTGTAATGGGGTGTGACTGTAATAGGGTGTGACTGTAATGGGGTGTGACTGTAATGGGGTGTGACTGTAATGGGGTGTCACTGTAATGGAGTGTCACTGTAATGGGGTGTCACTGTAATGGGGTGTCACTGTAATAGGGTGTGACTGTAATGGGGTGTGACTGTGATGGGGTGTGACTATGATGGGGTCCAACTGTATGGGGTGTGACTGTGATGGGGTGTCACTGTAATGGGGTGTCACTGTAATGGAGTGTCACTGTAATGGGGTGTGACTGTAATAGGCCGTCACTGTAATGGGGTGTCACTGTAATGGGGTGTCACTGTAATGGGGTGTGACTATGATGGGGTGTGTCTGTGATGGGGTGTGACTGTGATGGGGTGTGACTGTAATGGAGTGTGACTGTGATGGAGTGTGACTGTGATGGGGTGTGACTGTGATGGGGTGTGACTGTGATGGGGTGTGACTGTGATGGGGTGTGACTGTGATGGGGTGTGACTGTAATGGAGTGTGACTGTGATGCGGTGTGACTGTGATGGGGTCGAACTGTATGGGGTGTGACTGTAATGGGGTGTGACTGTAATGGGGTGTGACTGTGATGGGGTGTGACTGTGATGGGGTGTGACTGTGATGGGGTGTGACTGTGATGGGGTGTGACTGTAATGGGGTGTGACTGTGATGGGGTGTGACTGTAATGGGACCCCACTGTAATGGGGTGTCACTGTAATGGACTTCCAGTGTATTCGAAAGTTGCTGTTTACGCAAGATACAATGTATACTCAATTAATAAGAGAACAAGGTTGACTCTGAACCTACAATGAGTGAGTGAGTGAGTATGGTTTAAAGCCGCTTTTAGCAACACACCAATAATATCAAGGCGGTGGACACCGGAAAATGGTCTTCACACAGTGTACCCGTGGGGGGAATCGAACCCAAGTCTTCGGCGTGACGAGCCAACGCTTTACCCACTTGGCTTCCCTATCGCCCCTGAACCTACAGCGTGTATATGTGAACGTAAAGCAACGTTTTAATGTTTTGAGGCCCAGTACTTTTACGTTCATATGTTGCAGGCTGCCTTTGATGTCTTGGGTTTTACCCCAGATGAAAAAGTAAGCGCTTACAAGTGCACTGGTTCCGTCCTGCATTTGGGTGAGATGAAATTTAAGCAGAAGGGCGAGCAGGCTGAGCCTGATGGAACTGCTGAGGCTGAGAAGGTTTCCTTCCTATTGGGTGTCAACTGTGGTGACTTCCTGAAGGCTCTGTGTAAACCCAAGATCAAGGTGGCCATGGATTACGTCACCCAAGGACGAACCAAGAATCAGGTTAGTTATACTTTATGAACTTCCTTTATGTACTTCATAATATAACAATTTACTAAAATAGATGACGTCATTTCAATGACTGTTTCTAGGTTACCTACTCGGTCAGTGCCATGGCTAAATCTCTCTTCGATCGTGTATTCAACTGGCTTGTGAAGAGAGTCAACCATTCCCTGGACACAAAGAAACCAAGAAACTATTTCATTGGTGTACTGGACATTGCTGGCTTCGAGATCTTTGATGTAGGTATTTACCTTGACACATAACACGTAATACTTCTTACTTGTCAAGTTGAGATGAGGTGAGGTGAGGTGAGGTGAGGTGAGGTAATGCTTAACTTACCTTACCTTACCTGTGCAAACGTCAAAGATAGACACTTATTTTCATCAATCAGACTATTCTTTTAATAATGATAGCAATTGTCCCAGGAGTTTCTCACAGATTCCCGATGGTTAATTCTGACTCGATCGCCGAATGACAAGGGCGACGCCATGTCTGTTTAGGAACAGTGAAAGAAGTCCCTACTTGACCTTTGATATTTGCATCCCTATCCGCATATCAACCGAACGGATATCATTGTTATCCGTTGACTTTATCCTACGGAGAAACCCACCCATTATATGATAAAACAAGTTATCCATCGAATTAGGGTCTTGCTTAATACCCTAATAAGAACAAGAGGCTGAACAGTGTTGAACGAGGAGTAGAAATCGACAACAACTCTGGCAATAAGCTGACAGTCTATCTAAATGGTCGTAAATGTCATTTAGTAGCGAAGCTGTTGCGTCCTCGGTGCCCCGTCTAGTTCTGTACGCAAATTGCAAAGGATCTAGCTTGTCCATGACTTGATTGATTAGATAACGCAACACAATGCGTTATAAACACTTCATTGCAATTGACGTTAGCGCAACAGGTTTATAGCCATTTAGCTCAGATATGGGACAGTAACAACTAAAAGAGTTTCGGTGTGTAACTTGTCCTCGGTATGATAAAAACATGTCTAGTGAAGCGGCATTAAAAAAATTCTTGATGATATGTTGTAACAGTTCAACAGCTTCGAGCAGCTGTGTATCAACTACACCAACGAGCGTCTGCAGCAGTTCTTCAACCACCACATGTTTGTGCTGGAGCAAGAAGAATACAAGAAGGAGGGCATAGTCTGGCAGTTCATTGACTTCGGCATGGACTTACAGGCCTGCATTGAACTCATTGAAAAGGTAGGTTAATTGCTGCTAATCTTAATCTTGACAGTAATGAGATTTACCTAACCAGCGGGTATATAAGTTTCACGTAACGTCCGTAAGATCATCTTGATATCATGGATAGATACTTTAGATACTAAGTAGGCATGGGACATCCTCATCTATTCAAATGTTTTAGCCCCTGGGTATCCTGTCAATTTTGGAAGAAGAGTGCATGTTCCCAAAAGCATCTGACAAGACCTTCAAGGACAAACTGACTGAGAACCACATGGGCAAATCTCCCAACTTCCTCAAGCCTGGCAAATCTATGAAGGGTGGCCAACATGGTGACTTCGCCCTGAAGCATTACGCCGGAACAGTTCCCTACAATATCGGAGGCTGGCTGGAGAAGAACAAGGATCCTATCAACGAAACCTTAGTGAATTTGCTTAAAGAATCCAAAGAACCGCTGGTGTCCCTTCTCTTCCAGCCCCCAGCTGATGGTAGAATTTTATTTTCTGTGTCTCCTTACTACAAAGATATATCAATACGAAATTAAGATCCCTTATTATTTTTACACTACCAACTATTGGAAAGATATGAAAATAAATAATGGAATTGATGATAATGATATTTTGTCATACATTTTACAATTATCATTGTTAGCACATTCTTGCTATGAAACATACCGTGGTCCAATCCCAATAACATTAATTAAACATTCTTTAGATGGATCTGGTGGTGGTAAGAAGAAGAAGAAGAGCTCTGCATTCCAGACTATTTCTGCAGTCCACAGGGTAAAATATACGTCACCATATATATAACAAGTGAAAACAAACCATTTAATAAATGTTATCAAAACAGAATAAAAAGTTGTAGAGACACAACACATAATGCAAGGAAGGTTTTACCCAGGAGAGTGGCATTGTTCATTTCCAGAGTACAGATATGATAAGAACTGTTATTCATTTACTTGAACTGTAAAAACTCCTGTAAAGGAATGAACATTTCAGACATATTGAAAGTCCCCCACCCCTTCACACGCACACCCGCACCCCGACCTCAAGTTGAGCAATTGATACTTTCATCATCGACACGCAGAGGCATTTAGAGTAAATAACATAGTTTACTTTACTACTTATGGTGTGAATGATGTCACTTGTTTCAAAGATGTTTCTTTATGCTATATGTTAGGAGTCTCTGAACAAGCTGATGAAGAACCTGTACACCACTCACCCTCACTTTGTGCGTTGTATCATCCCCAACGAGACAAAGAGTCCAGGTAAACTAACTGATCCTATCTAGTAAGCACATTAATTGATTTTCCCTAAGTAATCGTAACATTGCTTATCTAGTGATAGATAACATCATACACGTCTTTTCATTTAAGGAGCTTTGCCCCATTGGTTTTTTGCCTGACGTTATGGAGTACATCCTGTCAGAGTGTGTTGACCTTAACATTTTTGCAGGTTCTTATAATAGCATTTGATCCATGTACAAAGTCATATGCACTAACAATACACATAATTTCAGAACACAAGTCAAGGCTATATTTACAAAGCAATGTATTGTACAGATGATTACAATGTGCACAGGTACATAAGCAAACAGTTTGACCTTATACTTGTAGGTGTTATTGACGCTGGCCTTGTCCTCCACCAGCTTCAGTGTAACGGTGTACTTGAGGGCATCCGTATCTGCAGGAAGGGATTTCCTAACAGAATCGTCTACTCTGAGTTCAAACAGAGGTTCGTGTTATTTTCTCGCACATCCAATGACAGTTGTATGTACTCAGAGGAATGTTCCTTTTACACACCGAGGCTTTGGCGAATACCTATATAAATCACTTCAACCATTAGAAAATCTAGATCATTATTGTCTAAATGACACAAACACGTACAGGCATTCCCCTACTTCGATCATGAGATGTCTTGTCGTCTTTGAGCTAAGTTCTATCTTATTCTTTCCAGATATTCTATCTTGGCTCCCAACGCTATCCCAGAAGGCTTCGTTGAAGGCAAGATTGTTGCTGGCAAGATTCTAGATGCCCTGGAACTGAACAAGGAAGAGTTCCGTCTGGGTAACACCAAAGTTTTCTTCAAAGCTGGAATCCTGGGTTACCTTGAGGAACTCCGTGACGATCGTCTCAGCACAATTTGTTGTCTGTTCCAGGCTCACATTCGTGGGTACTTGAAGCGCAAATTCATGAAGAATTTGGATGACAAGAGGTATTAGAAATGAAGGTTAAAATAATGAATCAATGGCGTTGTTGATAAAAAGTTAATTTGTACTTTGTTTTTGATAATTGCATGGCTACAATGAGTTCAATCCTTCCACAGAACTGCATTGGAGTTGATTCAGAAGAACATCCGTAAGTGGCTGGCCATGAGGAACTGGCTCTGGTGGAGATTCTACACCAAGGTCAAGCCCCTCCTCAGCATTCAGGCCGCTGAAGATGAGATGAAACTGAAAGAAGAAGAACTGGCAAAGGCAAAGGAAGAGCTTGGTAAGGTTGGTCAGAGGTGCAAGGAACTTGAGGAACAGAGCGTTACATTGATGGAATCCAAAAACAAAATGTTCCTGGAGGTGCAGACCCAACAAGACACTATCGATGACTGCGAGGAGAGAATCGAGCAGCTTTTGAAAGGCAAACAAGACTTTGAGAATCAACTGAAAGAGCTTGAAGATCGCCTTCTTGATGAAGAAGATGCCAATGCGGATGCTGTTGAAAACCGTAAAAAAATGGAAGGAGACAATTTGGCTTTGAAGAAAAATGTCGAGGACTTGGAGGGAAACCTAAAAAAAGTAAGATATCAAACAAATTTAGTAATAGATGCTGGTAAATAAAACATTAGGTCCAAACCCATAAGGCCAATTCTACCAGATTCCTAAAGTATTCCTAAAATGTATATTTACTGTATGTGAGTGAATTTGACACTCCTTGCTCCTTAAATAAAAGCGACAGAACCCTCTCCATAATCATAAGAAACATCTGCTATAAGCAGAGTCCATTATATGATTCCGACTAAATCATATGCATGTGTTTATGAAGCTCTATTTAATAGTGAAGTTACGAGATGGCAAGCACGTTGTATATGGAGATTCCGTTTTAGGCTGAAGATGAGAAGCAAGCGAAGGACAAGCAGATTCTGAGTCTGCAGGATGAACTGGCCAATGCTGATGATGCTTTAGCTAAGCTGTCTAAACAGAAGAAGGATGGTGAGGACAACATGAAGAAGACCCAAAGCGATCTGCAGGCAGAAGAGGACAAAGTCAATCACCTCAGCAAGCTTAAGAACAAGTTGGAACAAACTCTTGATGAGGTATGGTCATTTATCATCCAAAACTGGCTCCCACAGGAGATATCGCTTGGATGAGATCAAGCGATATCTACACTGTAGGGGTGCGTTGCAAAGCGCCAATCGCTTGTAAGCGATGTACAGCGATTCGCCTTACAACAGCGCGCCAACTTTCAGCCGCTTGCAAGCGAAACAATCGCTGACTGAGGTCGCTTCGTTCTCAAACCAAAATGGCGGCTTACTTTGACAGCGGAACAAGGAATTCTTGACTGGATCAACGAGAGAATGAGCAAAGGTTGCTAAAAACCCAATCATCCTCAGTCTGCTCCACATCTTCAAAATGGTCATAAATTTCATCAGCTCGTCATCGAGCCTCTTCTATTACGTTTTTTCATTACGCTGATGGTCAGGCTCTCTGACTTGGTTGATGCATGTCATCGTATCCCAATTACGTGGATAGATGCTCATGATGTCAATCACTGGATTGTCTGGTCCAGACTCGATTATTTACAAACCGCCGTCATATAGCTGGAAGATTGCTGAGAGCGGCGTTAAACAACAAACAAACAAACGTCAACGCAACCAAGCGGTAGTTGCGCCGCCATTTTGGAAGAGTGCGCAAGCGCTTCGAACTGTTGCAGGTTGAGCGATGAATTTGCTTTCTCTAAGCCATTCGTGGCTTCTAACGCGCCCTAGATATCGCTGCAATGAAATTACATCACAATCCTTTGCAGACCATTGTGACGTCACTGTTACCATGACGTCACAATCAAATGACATCTCTAAGGGCTCTGCTACTGAAGCTGTTAGCAGTACTTTTTACACTGAAGACACTGCTAATTACTGTCTACAAATTGAAAAAGTTGGAAGAATGAAGTTTGATGATAAATAAAATCTCACCCTCGTGTCTTTTGATCAAATATATCATCGGTCGTTGATAAAAGTGGCAAAAATCCTAGACAAGCCTCGGTATTTTACCACTTTTATCAACTCGTGTTGATATATTTGATATCAAAAGACATTCTCTATTTCATATCCAAGTATACTATTGATTTCGTATTAAAACCTCAGTGCTGAAGAAGTATTCTGTCGCGTACCATGTTCATTTCAATGTTGATTTTGTTTGTGCAAAAAGAGTCAATTCAAGAGTCAGGCATTCGAATATATTTTCTTCTTCTAAAGATGTATTGAATAGTATATAGAGAATCTCACCCGAGTGTCTTTTGATTTCAAATAGAGCAACACGAGTTGATATAAATGGTAAAATTCCGAGGCTTGCCGAGGATATTTGCCACTTTTATCAACGAGTGCTATATTTGATATCAAAAGACACGAGGATGAGATTTTATTTATCATCCAACATCATTCTTCCGACTCTTCCAATTTGTAGATAGTAATTAGCAGTGTCTTCAGTGTAAATAGTACTGCTGACAGCTTCAGTAGCAGAGCCATAAGGGATGTCATTTGATTGTGACGTCATGATAACAGTGACGTCACAATGGTCTGCAAAGCATTGTGATGTAATTTCATTGCAGCGATATCTACAGTGTAGGAGCCAGTTTTGGATGATAAAATATAGTAATGGACAAGTTGAATAAAGACGATCTTCATAGTCTATATTAGTTATCAATGTTGTTTGTACCTCTAAACGAATGTTTTTTTGAGAAAACTGAAGGATTGACAGAAACTAGAATGAAAAGATCAAACATGAAATTGATGTTCAAACATAGCTTGAAGACAACCTAGAGCGTGAGAAGAAGGTACGAGGTGATGTTGAGAAGGCCAAGAGGAAGATCGAGCAGGACCTCAAGGGAACTCAGGAGGTTGTGGAAGACCTAGAACGTGCCAAGAGAGAAGGGGAAGAAGCAATGAGAAGGTAGATAATCGAGGTGTTAGTGTCCGTATAAAAATTATGACTTAGTATACAAGTTCTTTGTTTTTGTGTCCTATTTCTGTGAGTGACTGTTGGTGGTTAATTCAACCATAACTTCAGAGAATGACATTTTAATGATATAATGTATATAATTTGACGCATATATAGTTTCAAGGATTCTCATTATTAAAGTGTGATGGCAAAATCATTGTTTGATGTATTCAGTGAAACACATCCCTGGATTTGACTTCTGATCCCTTAACTTGACAGCCTACCGTATATACTACAAATATTATGTCGATCAATCAATTCCCCCTGACACTAAAGTTTCAGCGCGAAGTTGAAACTGTATAGATATCACAAGGATAAGTAGGTTTCTATCTATACAAGGTCATTCTTTTGTATTTCATCATTTATTGGGTTAGTCTATAACGCTACGCAGGAAAGGAACATGTCTGGTTACTTTAGGTTTAATGGAAGTTTGGGTCTGCATGTTATGATCACGAGAATGAATATGTCGTTAAATGTGAAAACATTTACTTTTCAGGAAAGACATTGAAATCTCAGGTCTTAACACCAAACTCGAAGATGAACAGAGCATGGTGGCTCAGCAACAGAGGAAAATTAAGGAATTCCAAGTATGTTTTAACACCTTGTACGCTCTTATTTGTAAATAGCTTGAAATGAAATGTACATATAATTTACTTTTATTTGTCAATGTCAACGAACATTATATTCTTATATAATTTAACGCGATTATCTTATAAAGGAGAAGAAGATTCTTTGATAAGTTTTCAGATAAGACATTAGGATCATGACATGACATGTTTCAAGTTTTATCCAGGATGTTGGTGGCCTGATGAAAAATGATTTACAGTTATAGTGTGAATACCACAAACAAATGCCTATCGAAATTTAAAGTAATATTGTATTATAATTAACCCATATATCAAAAGTAATGAAATTACTCGAAAAATACCATCGAGGACCTTAATGTAATCTAGGTCCGTGCTGGAACACCGATACATGCACATAGATATACCAGCTCTGCTTTCTCAAAGTGATATCAATATATTCTTGGCAAGACGAAATGTATATGTTATATTTGTCGTCCTTGTCCATACTCGATATTATTATTAACAGAGCATGTGATTTTACAGAAGCATACAGTTGATATAACGTCGAGTGTACGTTATTAACGCTTGTTGATGGTTTAACTGAGTTGATGATAAACCACAACTGCTATGAATAATAGTGATGATGACTATGTTTCTTGTACAGAGCCGCGTGGAGGAGCTGGAGGAAGAGCTTGAGAGTGAGAGGCAGATGAGAGGAAAGGTAGGTTGTCACCTGCTGAATGTCTCCGTGTGTTGAAGGAGAATCCCGACAGGTCTATTACAAGGTAACACTTGAAGTACGGCTTGGATATCACAAGTCAGTATTGCCATGGTTTCATATTGGGGAGAAGCAACCATAAAAGTGTGCCTTTGTGTCACATGTAATATGCAAGCTGAATTTCGTTTTATGTAACCGCTGTTAAGTATATTAGTCTTCTAGAAAACATATAAAATTGAGTTAAGATGTGTGATGTGGTGAGGTGTGGTCAGTGGGAAGATGTGGTCAGTTAATGTGCGATGTACAATGGGGAGATGTGGTCAGGATATGTGTTATGTAAATGTGGAGGTGTGGTCAATATATGTATGAGGTACAATGGAGATGTGTGGTCAGGATATTTGTTGTGTAAATTGGGAGGTGTGGGCAATATATGTATGAGGTACAATGGAGATGTGTGGTCAGGATATGTGTTGTGTAAATGGGGAGATGTGGTCAGTATATGTGTGATGTACAATGGGGAGGTGTGGTCAGGATATGTGTGATTTAAAATGGGGAGATGTCACAATATGTGTTATGTAAATGGGGAGATGTGGTCAATATATGTATGAAGTACAATGAGGAGGTGTGGTCACTATATGTGTTATGTAAATGGGGAAATGTGGTCAGTATATGTATGAGGTACAATGGGGAGATGTTGTCAATATTTGTATTGTGTACATTTGGGAGGTGTGGTCAGGATATGTTTTATGTAAATGGTGAAATGTGGTCAGTATATGTGTGATGTACAATGGGGAGGTGTGGTCAGGATATGTGTTATGTAAATGGGGAGATGTGGTCAATATATGTATGAGGTACAATGGGGAGGTGTGGTCAGTATATGTATGAGATACAATGGGGAGATGTGGTCAATAAATGTATGGTGTACATTGGGGAGGTGTGGTCAGGATATGTGTTATGTAAATGGGGAGATGTGATCAATATATGTCTGAGGTACAATGGGGGGATGTGGTCAGGATATGTGTTATGTAAAAGGGGAGATGTGGTCAATATATGTATGAGATACAATGGGGAGATGTGGTCAATAAATGTGTGATGTACAATGGGGAGGTGTGGTCAGGATATGTGTTATGTAAATGGGGAGATGTGGTCAATATATGTATGAGGTACAATGGGGAGATGTGGTCAATAAATGTATGGTGTACATTGGGGAGGTGTGGTCAGGATATGTGTTATGTAAATGGGGAGATGTGATCAATATATGTCTGAGGTACAATGGGGGGATGTGGTCAGGATATGTGTTATGTAAAAGGGGAGATGTGGTCAATATATGTATGAGATACAATAGGGAGATGTGGTCAATATATGTATGAGATACAATGGGGAGATGTGGTCAATATATGTATGGTGTACAATGGGGAGGTGTGGTCAGGATATGTGTTATGTAAATGGGGAGATGTGGTCAATATATGCATGAGGTATAATGGGGAGGTGTGGTCAGGATATGTGTTATGTAAATGGGGAGATGTGGTGAATATATGCATGAGGTATAATGGGGAGGTGTGGTCAGGATATGTGTTATGTAAATGGGGAGATGTGATCAATATATGTATGAGATACAATGGGGAGATGTGGTCAATATATGTATAGTGTACAATGGGGGGTGTGTGGTCAGGATATGTGTTATGTAAATGGGGAGATGTGGTCAATATATGTATGAGGTACAATGGGGAGGTGTGGTCAGTATATGTATGAGATACAATGGGGAGATGTGGTCAATAAATGTATGGTGTACATTGGGGAGGTGTGGTCAGGATATGTGTTATGTAAATGGGGAGATGTGATCAATATATGTCTGAGGTACAATGGGGGGATGTGGTCAGGATATGTGTTATGTAAAAGGGGAGATGTGGTCAATATATGTATGAGATACAATGGGGAGATGTGGTCAATAAATGTGTGATGTACAATGGGGAGGTGTGGTCAGGATATGTGTTATGTAAATGGGGAGATGTGGTCAATATATGTATGAGATACAATGGAGATGTGGTCAATATATGTATGGGATACAATGGGGAGATGTGGTCAATATATGTATGGTGTACAATGGGGAGGTGTGGTCAGGATATGTGTTATGTAAATGGGGAGATGTGGTCAATATATGCATGAGGTATAATGGGGAGGTGTGGTCAGGATATGTATGAGATACAATGGGGAGATGTGGTCAATATATGTATGGTGTACAATGGGGAGGTGTGGTCAGGATATGTGTTATGTAAATGGGGAGATGTGGTCAATATATGCATGAGGTATAATGGGGAGATGTGGTCAGGATATGTATGAGATACAATGGGGAGATGTGGTCAATATATGTATGGTGTACAATGGGGAGGTTTGGTCAGGATATGTGTTATGTAAATGGGGAGATGTGGTCAATATATGCATGAGGTATAATGGGGAGGTGTGGTCAGGATATGTGTTATGTAAATGGGGAGATGTGGTCAATATATGTATGAGGTACAATGGGGAGGTGTGGTCAGGATATGTGTGATGTAAAGGTGGACATGTAGTCAGTATATGTATGGTGTACAAGGGGGAGATTTGGTCAGGATATGTGTTTTGTAAACGGGGAGATGTGGTCAATATATGTATGAGGTACAATGGGGAGGTGTGGTCTCTATATGTGTTATGTAAATGGGGAGGTGTGGTCAGTATATGTGTGATGTACAATGGAGAGATGTGATCAGTATGTGTGTGATGTACAATGGAGAGGTGTGGTCACAATATGTGTGATGTAATGGGGAGGTGTGCTTTTTGTGTGTGATGTCCATTGAGGAGGTGCGTCAGTATATGTATTATGCAAAATTGGGAAATGTGGTCAGTTTTTGTTATATAAATGGGGAGGTGTGCAGTTTTTGTGATGTCCTATGAGGAGGTGTGGTCAGTACAAGTTATTCAAATGTGTTTGTAGGTCGACAAGCAGCGAACAGAGCTGGCTCGCGAGCTGGATGACCTGTCCATGCGTCTGGACGAGGCCGGAGGTGCAACAGCTGTTCAGGTCAGCCATTTCTTGTGACCAACACAAACCTATAATAATGTTCCAGTAATGATTATTATAAAAACGGACGTGTTGGGAAATAAACGGATAATTGACAAAAGAGCATTGGGGTGAGGGTTATTGCTATAATATATAACGATTCCATATAAAACTAACAACCGTTCGTTATATGAGCTTTAGTATTTCATTAAATTTTGTAACTTTCAAGTCTTCTAACAAGAAGCTCAGTAACACATTTTTACCAATCTTGATCTAAAGGGTTGAACTATGCAATAGGTAGATATAACGACATCGGCACCATATTTACCGAGATATTTGAAAGGTATTAAATATCGACTGTGGTATGTCGCTATAGATGGATCTGAACAAAAAGCGAGAACAAGAACTCGCCAAGCTCCGCCGCGACCTCGAGGAGGGAACTCTTCAGAACGAAGCTCAGATTGCCAGCCTTCGTAAAAAAGCTAAAGACACCGCTAACGAGCTCGGCGACCAGGTGGACCAACTGACAAAGGTGAAGCAAAGGTAAGTTTTTGTTTGGCCTAAGTGACATCCACATCCATCAAGGGGGGTGTATTTGTGTAATACAATGAAAATCTAAGCAGCGTAAAATAATATTTGTTAGTTTTAAACAATTGCTATACAATGGTTGTCAAACTATTTATTTTCTTTTTAGGCTTGAAAAGGAGAAGAACCAGATGAAGAGCGAAATTGATGAACTTCAGTCACAGCTAGAGTCCAGACCCAAGACAGCCGTCAGTACATTTACATTCTACTGGTTTACGATAATAAACTGTAGGCATAAACTACAGTGAAACCTTGGCCAATTCTATTGGGCGTAAAAGGCAAAATAACAGTGAAAAGTCCGGACGAATTAGTAGTAGGCATCGCACTTGTTTCTGATTACGGATAATTCAAACTATTATTGTCGTAGGCCTTGTTAGCGAGGTTTTCAGTATGTAGGTTTGGAATAATCTATCTGATTATTTAAAACAAATCAATCGTGGCTGAAGAATAAACTCGTTTCAGGTGCATGAAGTTTCGAGATATAGGACGTTACGAAAAGCGAAGATAAAATGTCGCTTCTTTTCAGGGCGTCTCTGACAAAGTATCAAAGCAGATGGAGGCTCAGCTGTCTGAGCTGAACTCTAGAATCGAAGACAGTAACCGCCAGAACGCTGATCTCCAATCTCAGAGGAATCGTATGCAGGCAGAAGTAAGCGACCTCACACGCCAGCTGGAGGATGCCGAACACCGCGTTAGTGTGCTGACGAAAGACAAAGCAGCTCTAAGCAGTAACCTAGAAGAGGCAAAGAGAGGTTTCGAGGATGAGTCTCGTGTAAGTTTCACTCCATATTATACCAATGTCAAATATGCTGTGACCAATTCAGCTGTTAAAAAAAGTGTGCCATACAATGGGCACAACTGTTTTACGTGTGTCATAAAGTGAGCACATCTGTTTCAAGCGTGTCATACAAATTGTCATACAGTGTTTTAAATTCTAAATTAAGGATGAACCTGAAATGTGTTTTACATGTATCATGATTGCGATCCATGGGAACTGAGTTATCATTCGAAATTTGTACAGCTCCGTATGAAGCTGCAGTCAGAGAACCGCAACTTGTCCGCCGACGTCAATAACATCCGCGACCAGCTTGAGGAGGAGCAGGATGGCCGCAGTGCCCTTCAGAGGCTACTCTCCAAGGCCAGCAATGAAGCGCAGCAGTGGAGGGCCAAGTTTGAGACAGAGGGCGCAGCGCGTACTGATGAGCTCGAAGATGCAAGGTGATCTTGCCACACCACTTATTTATAATAGTAGATGGCGACGTCGATTTTTAGTGTTATTCATTGGGAGAGAAATGTTCCCGTGAATATGACCATGATATGTCTACATCATCTTCAGGGGAGGGTTTATGGTTAGTGTGGATGATATTGGGATACTATGTTTCATCAGTCTCAGAATAGCAACCTGTGCTTGTTGTGAGAGGCGACCGAATGGATCGGATGGTCAGGCTTGGTGACATGGTTGATTGCGTGTCATCGTACCCCGACAGCGTGGATCGTTGTTCACAATATCAATCACTGGATTGTCTGGTCCAGACTCAATTATTTACAGACCGTCGTCACATAGCTGGACTATTGCAGCATTAAACAACAATCAAACAAACAAACAGAGGATGTGTTGGGTGGTCTAGTTGATTAAAACACATCAACCCAGGTTCGCACCCATGTATTGTTACACTGTGTGAAACTTATTTTTCCATGTGCCGTGGACCATGAATCTGCAAAATATTCTGTAATAAACCCAATGTATCTTCTCTCCCAAACAAGGCGCCGTCTTCAAAGCAAACTCAGTGAAACAGAGCAAAACCTGGACACTGCCAACAACAAGGTCACAGGCCTTGAAAAAGCTAAATTCCGAATGCAGGGAGAGCTTGAGGATCTCATGATTGACGCGGAGAGGGTACGAATCATGTTCTGCTGATTCAGTGATCCTGTTAGTCCAGGCCTAAACGTACAGATAAACACATTTCTAAATCAGCGAATCATGGGTACAGAGTAACGTCCCATTATGTGTAAACAGACATCAGAACGTAAATTTGAGTGTTCACAACACTTCTTGTGCAGGGTGCGGTTTCACTGTATTTGTACTATTCGACGAACTCCAACATGGTCACTAATGGTATCTTTAATACATGACAGTACAAAAGTAGCATGTATGTAAAAGCGACAACCTTTCCATAATCATAGTCCATTGTACGATTCCGACTATATCATAAGCATGTGTTTATGAATCACTATCAAATAATGTTGAAAACAAGATGGCGCAAATGATGAATAAAGGTAGTTTTTTGATTATTTAATTTTCAATAGGCCAACGCCAATGCTAACAACCTTGAGAGGAAGCAACGTGCATTCGACAAGACCGTGACCGAGTGGCAGAGCAAGGTGAAGGGCCTCCAGAACGAACTTGACACCGCCAACAGGGAGAGCCGAGCCGCCGCCGCTGACGTGTTCCGTATGAGGAGCCAGGTTGACGAAGCTAATGACGGTGTGGAGGCTCTGAGGCGAGAGAACAAGAACCTCTCTGGTGAGCTGCTTGTCATGAACACTCCATGACGTGAAAGACAAAGACTCTACATCTGTTCCACGCTGGTATACCACGTTGTCTCTAACAGAGATGTGCCATTATGTGAAGCGTCAGGATACAAGGTCATATCAGTTGGTCAACACGGGTTCAGCCTCACTTTGGTGTCCCTCACTTTGCACTTGCTTTATTGTTCCTGAACTTGTTCAAGTCCCTGATAGGTAATGCATTTTTGATCAAACAAGACCGATAATTTGAATCAGAAAGATAACATCATTCGCTGACACTGACTGTGACACGCCAATGAATCATAAGTATGTTAAAATGTCACCAACGGCCTGACCTGAATGTGCTCAATATTCCACTGCTTTTTCACTAATCTGTGTCTTTCTTCAGACGAGATCCGTGATCTGACAGATCAACTGACAGATGGTGGTCGCAGCGCCTTGGAGATTGACAAGGCCCGCAGGCGTGCCCAGAACGAGAAGGAGGAACTCCGAGTTGCCCTGGAGGAGGCGGAAGTCAGTCTGGAGCAGGAAGAGGCCAAAACTGTCCGTGCTCAGATTGAGTTGGCCCAAGTCCGCAGTGAAATTGACAGGCGCCTCAACGAGAAGGAAGACGACTTTGCCAGCTCCAGGTACATTTTCACTGCCCTAATTAATGTCGACCCTTGTAGCTGTGTTTTTCAACCTTTAATAGTGGCCGTCACTACATTTACAATGGCATGAGTTATATCCCCTTGTAACACACGTAGGCAATGTAATGTAATGGTATGATAGTGATAGAGCAGTACTGATTTAGCTACACGACACATATCTTCCCAGCACTATTCTCAAGGTCATTTATCATGATTTAAATCGAATTTAAAATCAAAAGTGAAAAAGTCGGAAAATGACCGATATGCTGTGTCAGCTAAAAGACTTGCTGTTCTAATACAATGAAGGAGGAAAAGTATAATATTGGTTTGTGGTACAAAGTAAGTGTCCTTTTTATAAGATAAATATGCGCCTTGAATTAATTGCTTTTTTGGAAGAAACGAATATTAATGATTTGATGTTTTCCATATGTTCCGTATATTTCTTACAGGCGCAATCACCAGAAAGCTGTTGAATCCCTGCAGGCCAGCCTCGACGCGGAGACAAAGAGCAAAGCTGAGGTCATCAAGATGAAGAAGAAGCTTGAGCAGGATATCAACGAGCTGGAAGTGGCTGTGGACAGCGCCAACCGTGGCCGTGCTGACGCCGAGAAGAATGCCAAGCGATTCCAGCAGCAGATCAGTGTACGTTGTCCTGATAGGCCTACTAGTGGGGTAGTTTACATTCACTTGTAACGTATATCACATTGGCAATTGTGAAACATGTCCATTGTGTCTCCTCCCAATCAGGGGGGTGGAATAGCCTAGTGGTTAAAGCATTCGCTTGTCATACCGACGACCCGGGTTCGATTCCCCACATGGGAACAATGTGTGGAGCCAATTTCTGGTGTCCCACGCCGTGATATTGCTAGAATATTGCTAAAAGCTGCGTAAAACCATACTTACTCACTCACTCCCCCCACCGAGGCGTAACCCTTTTAGATCTCTCTTTCTTGAAATCCTCTTGATGTCTCAGCATCTGGTTTAAAGCTCTGATCCATTTTGTAATCATCTGCTGCAAGATGGTAGATTGATTACAGATAACAATGAGACACATACTCAGTAACAACAGTGGAATGTTAAAATCGGAATTTTCAACTATTTCCTAGAATATTGGCTAATGCGTTTGAGTCAGCACCTGATCTGAAGACCTGTCTTGATGCATGTTCCCCACAGGAGGTCCAGTCTCAGGTTGAGGATGCACAACATGCACGGGACGAGGCTCGCGAAGCTGTGGTAGCTGCCGAGAGGCGCTACAACTTGCTGAACTCCGAGTGTGAGGAACTCCGGGCTTCTCTGGAGGTTTCTGAACGTGCTCGCAAAGTCACTGAGGGAGAATGCCAAGAGGCCAGCGACCGCATCAACGAACTGTCTGCCCAGTTGGGCTCCGTAGCTGGACAGAAGAGGAAGCTGGAGACTGATATCTCAGCTATGCAGGTGAGGAGGGAATGTGACTTTATTAACATACTTCTACTTCAACGCAAAGGAGTTTCGATAAGCTGCTTAAAGAGAGACTACACTACACCCTGACTCATTTTCAGTATAGAGCCGAACGTGATTAGAGGTATATGTAATTACGGTATTAAGTACCAGCTTGATTGATAAAAATCATAACATTCGGTCAAGCAAAGTGGACTTTCAATTACGGTTAATTGGCCCGAGCGTAACATACCTTTACGTTTGCTATATGGAACGCAAGTAGTTATTTCTTAAAGGAATCTCATTTACCCATCTTATCCGATACACGCTTTGTGTGTGGGAGTTATTCTATGACAAAACCAGTAATACCTTAATGACACTGTATGCCAAAAAATGACCACTTCTTCTCGCTCGTAGAGTATAGAGCTATAGAAACGTTACTGACAGTTTTCCTTTAGCTAAACCTTAAAAGAACTCTTACAATAAACTCTAACACTATTGGTTCTGTACAGGGCGACCTAGAGGATTTGAGCACTGACGCCCGTTCGGCTACAGAAAACTATAAGCGCGCCATTGTGGATGTCACTCGTCTCTCCGAAGAGCTCCGTAACGAACAGGACCACGCCCAGTCCCTGGACAAGGCACGTAGGAACCTGGAGAACCAGGTGAAGGAGCTCATTATTCGCGCTGAGGAGGCGGAGGCGACCGGCGTCAAGGAGGCCAAGAAGGCCACCATAAAACTAGAACAGAAGGTGGGTAACACAACCATTAAATCACATTTCAAATTATAGCTCGTTGTTCTTTCAGGTATGGCCAAATGTAATTTATTCACCTGTCCAGTACGTCTATATCGGGCGTTTGTTTGGGAGAGACGAGCGTGAACATCCCTGAGGCCCTAATGCCATGATAACATTTTGCCACTATTTGTTACTATAAGGAGACAACACGGATGCTATGCTACATGCTTTCAGTGCCGCCCATATGTTTTAGCGAAATATTTCGGTATACAAAACACTGCTTGAGCATACACAGCACGTATTTCGTTTTTTTATAGGGAGTTGTCGGGGATTCACATGTGCTGCTTTTCCCAATATACTTGCTAAAACCAAACATTTATTCCCTTTTATTCCCTTATGATAAAATGGAGATAAACAAAATTAAATTTTCAATGTAGAGATAGGTTACCCGTAGATTTAACCTTGCTAAATTTTACATTTGAAACCTCACGTTGTGCTTTCGGTACGAAATTACATTAGGCGCGGTTAAATCTACAGATAGCCTAGCTCTACAAAAAAATGCAGTGTGTTTATCCTACATCACTCTCCCATGAGTTCACATACACACATGGAACAGATATTGTAGGCAATGTTCACAGAATGTGTTGTATTTATAGCTCCACCAGGTGGAGGGTGATCTGGAGAACGAGGTACGCCGCCATTCCGACACCCAGAAGCAGGCTCGCAAGGCTGAAAGGGCCGTGAAGGAGATCTCCTTCCTGGCCGAGGAGGAGAAGAAGAACCAGCAGAGACTCAAAGACTACGTGGACAAACTCAACGGCAAGATTAAGACATTCAAAGTACAAACAGAAGAGGCGGTAAGTTCGTTCGTTGCAAGTATTTTCAAGATTAAAAACGAATAAGTTTCAGGCAAATTGGTGGTCCCAGCAAGTTTGATTCAAATGGTTGAAACACCACTTCGAGCCTGCTTTTTCAATGTTATGAAGTCTATTCGTCTTACAGTTAATGGAAACCCACAATGACAGAGAAAACGTCTCAGTATCACACTTTATACACGACTTGCGAGGTCTTGTTGAATACTGGAAATCGGCCTAGTTCTGTGAAGCATTGTCCCTATTTTAGCATTAATTTGGGGAACAAGATTTGTTAGATTTAGGGTTTGTTAATAATAGTAGTCATGGTTGGCTTGAGCAATACAAATGAGAATGGGGTCATGTTTTTCTGATAGATCTATTTGGCTTGACCAATGAAAGTGTGACTCAGGTCACAGAAGTTGAAGGTGATGAAGTTTGACCAATGAAGTGTGACTAGGGTCAAGGTAGTGGAAGGTGATGAAGTTTGACCAATGAATTGTGACAAGGGTCCAGGTACTTGAAGGCAATCAGGGTTAGTCAATGAAAGTGTGACTAGGGTCATGTACTAGAAAGGGATCCATGTTGACCATTGGAAGCGTGACTAGGGTCACGGTACTTGATCTGAAAATGATCAATTTTGACCGATAAAAGTGTGACTTTGGTCACGGTACCTGAATGTGATCAGGGTTGACCAATCCGAAAAGTGTGTCTAGGGTCTGATGAAGTTGACAATGATATGTTGGCTTGTGATGTTGCAGGAGGAACTGGCCAACATCAACCTGAACAAGTACCGGCAGGTGCAGCAGCTGCTGGATGATGCGGAAGAGAGAGCTGATTCTGCTGAGAATGCACTGTCCAAACTCAGAGCCAAGAACCGCAGTACCATATCCAGTGTTCATTAAAAACTTACAGCACGTTCTACCACGCCCTGCCTGTTTGTGAATTCCGGAGACACGTATATTCTTTTGAACATTTCAACTGGTTGACAATGTTTTTTTTCTGAGGGAGTGTGGGGAGCGAAATCGGCTTTCATTCCCAACTGAGATCAGCCGTAAAGATTGACAAACCGACATCATTTTAACATTGATATATTGCTCAGAAATACACCTACAGATATCGGAATCTGGGCATGTGAAGTCTAGTTACTGAAGCCCAGGGTATCTCTAGATGCATTTAACTGACGATTCGTTATATAAGCCGTACAGTTGGGCTAGTGGATGCGCTAACTCATCACGCACCACGCCCTGGTACGCCCAGAAGTAGTAAGCGTTACAATGAAATGACCGTGATGCCAACTAATGGCGTCTTTCACCGCAATATGAATGAATACAAGATAACAGTGCTATATATTCGCTCACAGACAACACATTGTAAAATATTTGTCAGTCATGAGTTTCTTGACATGCCACCCTTGTTCGGAACCTGAATAAAATGTTACTTATTGATTGATTCTTTTTTTATTCTTGCACGACGTGGACATTAAATGAATTATGGAATTGTAAGTGTGAAAGAGGTGTGATGTTAATGATTTAGGAAGGGCAGGCAGACGTTTGTCGTGTACACGTGCGTTAGGGTGGGACGGGGAGACATTGGCTGTTTGCATGCGAGATATTATTGGAAGGGGAGATATTGCCCGGGTGCACGTGGGATATGGTGGGACGGGGAGATATTGGCCGAGTGCACGTTGGATATGGTGGGACAGGGAGATAGTGGCTGAGTGCACGTGGGATATGGTGGGACAGGGAGATAGTGGCTGAGTGCACGTGGGATATGGTTGGACAGGGAGATAGTGGCTGAGTGCACGTGGGATATGGTGGGACAGGGAGATAGTGGCTGAGTGCACGTGGGATATGGTGGGACAGGGATATATTGGCCGGGTGCACATGGGATATGGTTGGACAGAGAGAGATTGGCCGGGTGCACGTTGGATATGGTGGGACAGGGAGAGATTGGCCGAGTGTACGTGGGCTTAGATGGAACAAGGAGAGATTGGCCGGATGCACGTGGGATATGGTGGGGGCAGGGAGATAGTGGCTGAGTGCACTTGAGACATGGTAGGACAGGGAGAGATTGGCCGAGTGCACGTGGGCTTAGATGGGACAAGGAGAGATTGGCCGGGTGCACTTGATATATGGTGGAGCAAAAGAGATTTGTCGAGTGCACGTGGGCTTAGGTGGGACACAGAGATTGGCCGAGTGCACGTTGGATATGGTGGGACAGGAAGAGATGGATGGAGTTCACTTGAGATATTGCGGGACAGGGAGATATTTGCCGAGTGCACTTGCGAAATTGTTGGACAGGGATAGATTGGCCAGGTGCACGTGAGATATGGTAGCACACGGAGATATTGGCTGAGTGCACGTGAGATATGGTGGGACACGGAGGGATTGGTTGAGTGCACGTGAGATATGGTGGGACACGGAGAGATTGGCTGAGTGCACGTGAGATATGGTGGCACACGGAGAGATTGGTTGAGTGCACGTGAGATATGGTGGGACACGGAGAGATTGGCCGGGTGCACGTGAGATATGTTGAATGCACGTGAAATATATTGTGGGACACGGAGAGATTGGTTGAGTGCACGAGAGCTATGGTGGGACACGGAGAGATTGGCCGGGTGCACGAGAGCTATGCTGGGACAGGAAAAGACTGACCAGGTGGTTTCGAAGGGGTCGCCATCGGATGAGCGTGGATAAGAGGGTTAAAATGGAATATGACGCAGTTGGATTGGAAGGCTCCTTTAGTAATAACGTTCATTAGAAGGGGCGGGGGGCTTTTACACACGAGTTTATAACACTTCAGGGAGAATCTGTGTGCACACACATGGGAATATCATCTACCACAGTGTCAACTTTAAGGCGGAAAGAGTTGCCTCCCTTAATCTCAATAAAGACTTGTTTCCCGTCAACTGCTCGTGAATATATTTCAACCGATTTTGTCAATGAATATGTCAAAACTCACTTTGTAGAAATATCTACATCTACAATACACACTGTCAACCATGGATATTCTGACGGAAAGAGTGTTCTGTTTCGTTAATTGTGACGTATGTGTAATGTCAATAGCAGTAACTTCCCCGTCTTCATTCACAACGGTGTCCATGCTCAATGTGTGAGTAAGGCTTGCACGAGTTATCTCCCTTACACTGATAACACATTTTCAAAGGGTTCATGTCTTGTGCTGTCTTACCGTATATATGCAAATAAAGACAAGCAGCAACTTCATATGTTTCCGATAGATTCTTAAGCGACATTTGTCTGTTAAAGAGACATAACATTAAATCATTCTGGATTGTCATTCGAAGAGCGCTTAAATAATTTACAACTCAGCAAGGATGAAATGTATCAGAACTGTGTGTCATCGAGATGCCATAGTTTCAGAAACAAATCAGTATTTGTGTTTTAACGCCACACTCAGCAATATTCCCGCAATATGACGACAATCCTCGAGTGTCCCGTGTGTATGTATCTCCATTCTATTAATCGCGTGAACATCCGGGGTTGAATAGGTCTTCAGCAACCCGTGCTTGCCGTAAAAGGCGACTATGCTTGTCGTAAGAGGCGACTAACGGGATCGGGTGGTCAGGCTCACTGACCTGGTTAATGCCTGTCATCGTATCCCAATTACGTATATCGATGCTCGTGATATCAATCACTGGATTGTCAGGTCCAGACTCGATTATTTATGGACCGCCGTCATATAGCTGGAATATTGCTGAGTGCGGCGCTAAAAAACAACCAACGAACCACACCACCACATAAAGATAAATACCATGAAAGTTTCATTTGTCGTCACCATGTCCCTCAATCTTATTGCTAATCTAGAACAGAGTTTGTTTGTAATTTGAAAGGACGGCTATTTTAAGCGTCGTGTGAATCGAATCCGGCTCACAACGAAGCTATGTGTCAGTGGTATTTATCGTAACAGAATAGAAATAAAATACAACAGCATAACCAACTATTAATGACGGAGACCTCTCGAAATAATCGAATCCGGCCCAGAAAAACAAGTAACTGATATTATGAGCAACGTCCCTATCCCCCCCCCCCCCCCCTCCCCCTTATCGCTTGGTTAACTTTAAAGTGGTTGTCGGCAGAATTAAAGATAAAAATGGAATATAAAAACCCCCACATAGTTTTAAAGTAATTGCTCAATTCAATATAAAGAAAAAAATAATATTTAGCCAAAGTATAAGTCAAAGGTTCGCTTCCTACATTGATTAACTCACATTATTTAACGACTGAATTTAGTTGGCAGGCATTGGGAAAACGACTTCTTATCTATCAGATTTATGCCACATAGTCGGGCAGCTCACCCGAAAACCAAGTAATTAAACAACTCAACCTTCTCGTCACTCTAAATTTGTGTTTTGTGTTGCTCATAAAAGAGGGAATTTTGATTCTAAAATCCTGATATAACGGACGCTAGATGCCCCAGATCAGTACATTCGAAGTTCATGATTTATGTAAATAGAAGATAACAAACTTCTAGAGAAGTATCTGCCAAACACAGAGTGAGTGAGTGAGTGAGTTGGGTTTAACGCCACTTTTAACAGTATTCCAGTTATATCGCGGCGTGTCAGCTTAATGTGGGAGGAAAGCCCGAAGTGATGCAGGTCTCAGACGTTTACCACTTCGGTGAAACCCTTGAGCACGGGTATGGTGCTGACAAACCGAGAAACATAATCGGGGCGAACCGGGATTCGAACCCACAATCATAGGTTTCTGGCGTGCCCAAGGGACGCAACTCTGCACAGCGAATCGCGGCGCCTTAGACGACTGGGCCACCCGTGCCCCCGCCAAAAAACAGAGCCGATTGTACGATTCCAACTAGATCATGAGCATGTGTTTAGGAATCACTATCAAATAGTGATGATACCATGTGTTCACGAAAGGGTGAGCGTATCATGTCCCACCGGTGGCAGCCGTCACAAACACATGCAAAGGCAACACAACATCGCCTATTAAACGGCCAGAGAGTGGAAATATGTTCAAAATGCTCGATGTTTCGCGATAACCAAATTCGTTATATCAGACTTTCTCGACTCATCGGTATGTAGGTTAAAGTTGAAACATGGATTTACTTCTAGACTGGAAAAAATCGAGGTTGACGGATTCGGAAAAAGCGGAGTTTGCAAATTTGTGAGTCATGTCTGCACTGACAAACTCTCGTAACCTACAGTGAACTTCATCCCACCATGCGCCAGTAGTGCTGATGTAGGAACCAGCGCTCAAGCCTACTTTCAGTATCACATCACCTCTCCTCAAGCTGTAACGAGAAAACCAGAACATCAGCGGCCCCGCTCTCGCAGATACAACACATGGCGGACTAGGTAGCAATTAACGTCAACCATCAACACACCGCTGTTCTCTAATTATTCACACAGAACAAATACTGTTGCTCGCCCGCGTACCTTCCCATCATCTGTGGTGTGCATATCGCTGGAAGTCTCATGGCCACGATCGTGCCGTATGCACTCACAACTATTTGTTTTCATGTCCCTGTGATGTGAGGTTCATTTTGTTTATGATTAGTATAGCACTTGAAAGAACAATTTAGGATAACATATGTTTTTGGCGTTGAACTCGCTCAGGGATATGATGCTATAAGATAATCGTACTTTTGGCGAACACGTAACCTCTCGTTACTTTTTACCGAGCTCTTTGAAGGTGAGGACGCATGAAATAATAAACTGTGGGCTAGTTTTAAAGTAAAATTATTACGTTCGTATAATTGCGCCTTGTATGTTTTGCGTCACGTTGTTATAACTTAAGGGACGGCAGTGTAGCCTAGTTGTTAAAGCGCTGGTCCTGTTAATCGACCAGGGTTCTATTCCCGTCATTGGTAAAATGTGTAAAGCCAATGTTTCCCCGCTCTGATATGCCGGAAATGTTGCTAAACAGCGCAAAATCCTACTCACTCACTCACTCACTCTACCAAGCTCTCGCTGACTCATTCACTTTCATACTTTTCTTTACTTTTATGACATATTTATAAATAATATAAAATGATTATCTGGAGGCAAGACCTTGGTCAGTTTATGGGATTAGGTATCTGTGTAGTGTCTCTGCATTTCCCTACAGCTTGCCTTTCAGTTTGGAATACTGTCCATTTCTTTTAGGTGTTTTTTATACACCAAGAACCCGTGCTTATAGTACGCAAAGGTAACTAATGAAGGTATGCTCTATAAGTAATTCCAGCCACATGGAACCAAGACATCAGAAGAGCCTCGCCGTCCCGCCGGATGCTGGATCATTAGGTAAATGAAGCTGGGTTCCAGGTAACCGAATCTCCGTGTTCCTGCAACGTGGCCTGATAACGTATGCCTTGCTGTCTGACTGACTGATTGTACAAACAGTGTCAGTCTGTGCACTACCTAGCAGCGACCCTTCCAGAAACCACTGTTACCATGACTACCATTGACTGACAGGCATATTCCAGTCAT